TATTAAATTATATATTGTAAATTTTTAAGAGAAAAAGTCAATAAATAAATTCAGTATAGATAAATTTGTTTAAGCTGTAGCAAAAAAAGGTATCTAGTTAAACTTTTTGAAAAAATTTAATAATAATATTTTGGATCTCCGAAAAATTTTTTATTGACATTATTTCATTACAGTTCATCGTTTAGTAAGGTTTTATAAGTGGAATACCCTATTTTTAGTTATTGTTTTCATTTTTATAAAAAAGCACGATACAGGGTAATCTGCACTTTAACGGGTGTCTGTCTGTCTCTGCTTATATTTGTTTACATTTTTATAAAAAAGCACGATACAGGGTAATCTGCACTTTAACGGGTGTCTGTCTGTCTCTTCTTGTATTTAATTACTAAATGTTACAAAGAGGAATATAGCGATTGATTAAAACACTATTTTTTACAATGATAAGTTAATTAAAAAATACACATTTCTAAATCTAAACTATTGTTTACTATTTTAATTGTACTTATGTTTATGGAAACATATAATAATCGTTTCATATATTAAGAAAAACTAAAGCACTTTAACAAATACGGCACATCTTCATACCCTGCTCTACATCTTAAGTATAGCTTTAAGCAAAATAAGTCTAAATTAAACTCAATTACTCTAAGAATTACGTGTTTTTTGTGTACAATCCATAAATATTGGAGGTGAGGAGAAAAACAAAATCCAGATCCCGAATTTATAATGCCACAGTAGATCCATTTTGTTGCTGCTGTAAAAATACATTAGTTTTGTTTGGCAATTGAGTTGATAAAGGCAGAAGATCATTGGAAGTTGACAATTCGACAGTTTCAGTTGATTGGCATACAGAAAAAATAGTAGCTGGTGCTGTACATGGCCGAATTCTTCTCTTTGATCGCCTATATGTTGTCGCCCAAAGCTGCGTAGAATTATTAAAGCAAATATTATTTATTGTAACATAATAATAGTTATTTATATAATTTACCCTTCTACGTTTTTTTAAGCGTTCATATTTGCCTCTCCTTGAGTTCCCTTCAAGTATTATTTTTTTGATTTGATTTTGCCAAATCTGTTCAAAATGGATTTATTTAGTTTTTTTATATATATAAGAAGTAATACAATTAAAACGCTATTCTATTTTATTTATTTATAATTTTTGGACTTATAGTCCATAACAATAATACTTTACCTTCATATTCGTATCACATCTTACACGTTTTCTGAGCATAATAATATTTTTATTTATATACGCAGTAAGCCAATTTACTCCCTCAAAAATTTCATTTGCTACAATTGCATTTGATGAGTTTCTCGAATAGCAGCACAAACGAAGGCTACTGAAATAATAATTCGCCAATGTTTCCAGTTGGAATGTGTTCTCTATGTCATACAGCTGCACGCTCTGATCTGCCAAGTCAGCTTTGGTAGCAATTAATAGAAATGGTTTGCCACTTACAAAGGGATGTGCGAAAGTCTTCTGCAGCACCTCGAAGGAGTCTTTAAGTTCTTCATAAGTTGCGGACATGTCAAAACAAAAAATGAAACCCATTGCCTGAAATTGATTAGATCTCTTAAAACATGCAAAAATTGATTGTTTCTTTTCAATCTACCGTATCGAAGTAGTGATGCCAAATCTTCTGCATTTCTTTGTTGCCTCCTATTTCAGTAATTGACACTTGAACACTTGGCAATTTCATTCGAAAGTATTGGACCCCATTGGTCGAGTCGTCACCTAAGCGCTGTGTACCAGCTAATGCACACCCTATTTCGGTTTTACCGCTGCCCTCCAAACCGAGCAGCACAACTTTTATTAACTTTTCTTTTGGCGCACTAGTCAAAATCACATTTTTCATAAATTTTACATATTTTACATTTTACATAGTATATTTTAGAATAAATACCTAGTAATTCTATTGGAGTTCCGCTGACAACAACAACAGCATTTCCACTTGCACAGTGATAAACCCATTAATTCATTTTTGTTGGAATTAAATAATTTGTTTTTACTTTAAAAATATGAATTTTACTTTCACTTCTTCACCGAGTGGACATGATGCGTACGGCTCGCTTTCCAAGCGTTTACTGAGAATTGTTTATGGGTTCATTCTGTTTACATTCGCTGCTAGGCAACGCTCCAGTAAAGCGTAAACAGGTTTTTGTTGGTCATGTTGTGTTGCATTTCAGTGCATTGGGAAAAATACTAAGCTGGAGAGAAATTGTTAAAAATTGTGATATCGCCATAACTTAGTATTCTCTAAAATAGTTTACTAACCGGATGTACAATATAAAGTTACGGTTACAGTTTTCTAGACGCTACGATTTGACAAGTGATTTTGGTAGAATCGATTATTCAACGCAATTTTTTCCATTACTTCCACGTGTCGATTTTCTTTACTCTCAATGACGCTATGCCATTATATTGAAGATAATTAAATTATACTCCGGCTTTGAATTCCTGGTATAGGATTATATCTACTGCCAGACCCTCTGATCTGTTTGCATAATGTCTTTGGTTACAGTGTAGTTTTAGTCACAGGTAAGTTGGATGTGATTCAAAGAATATTCACCCGAAAATTATTTTTTAAAATTAAATAATAATAGTTCATATCGTACGTTAAATTAAAATTAATATTATAAATAAATACTACCTTCTGCTCAAAAAGTACCCGGATTTTGTAAATAAAACACACAAATTTAAATTTTATTCCAAGTTTATTTTATCTTCTTCAAAATATGCTTCTTCTGAAGCGATACACATATGTCAACGCTTAACCCAATCTTCCATACACTTTTCGTAGGCTCGTGCTGGTATGGCTTTTAGTTTCTTCAGCGAATTCTCTTTTACTGATTCAGTCGACTCAAAACGCTTACCACGAAGGGGCAATTTGAGTTTCGGAAACAGGAAAAAGTCGCACGGCACCAGATCTGGCGAATATGGTGCCTGAGCGATGACAGTGGTGCCGTGTTTGGTCAAAAAATCGCGTACAACAAGAATTTCCCATAGTAAAAATTGCTAAATGCACTTGAGGTAGTCTCACATTAACAGCTGATGTAAACAAACTAATTGACAGATGGCGCTCAAATTCGTACCATATGTCAAGAAAGGGTGTACCAACATAACAAAAGATGTATAACTTAAGGTGTAGTTAATAAACAACAAACTCCGGATACTTTTTGAGCAGAAGGTACAACTCATATTAACTTTGATTATATTATTGAGTATTTAAGTCCTTAATGCATGATCAATGTATTTCCTCTTCATGAGAAATTATTGTCACTATCAACTATTTTGTTGATGAAACAAATTTTGTGGTTGTTATTACAGAACACAATCAATCCAAAAATGATTTTGAGATATTATTTGATTTTGTGTAATATTAACTAAACAGATTCTTATTGTGTTCTGTTTAATTAGGTTTACGGTATATAAAATAGATGTAGCTTTGAATTTTTGAATAAATCCAGACAAGAAATGTAACAGTGATAAGTAATATAATTCAAAATTTATTTGTTTCAAATTAATATTGATTGAATTAAAGTGTCATTTATTGCTTTTTTGTTTCCTTAAAAAGTAGTTTATGGTAATTCTCACCGTCCTGAGGCTCATGATCTGTACGAGTTGATCGTTTTATAAACATTAGAATTTATTACTTATTTTCTATATCGTAAGAATGCCACACTAAACTGGTCGATAGAATTCACTATTTGTGTACTATGAAGTTCCGCACGATTAGTTCACTCCGGAAATATTGACATAGAACTTGCTACTAAATATTGTACTTTCATGCTATTTCTCAAAATTTTTTAAAATAATTTATATTGTGTTATCATGTAAATATTTATTTTTATGTCTCTAAATATTATAGAAGTACACTATGACTTCTTATTAGCGTCATATGTTAAATATGATTATGATAAAAATAAAGTTTATATTTTATTACTAAACAACATTTTAGGCATACATAGATAGTAGCGAGTACATAAAAAAATAATATTCTAACGTAAATTATAATTTATAATTACATACATATAAACTATAGCGTTTGTGTTTGGAATAACAAATTTCTTAAAATTGCAAATTGTTGACTTAATATATATTACTAAAATATGGATCGCTATCGTTTAGTTTTATTTGAAATTAAGTATAAAATGTAACAACTGATCTGAAAACAGAACTAATTCTTATTAGAACTTATTATTAATTAATATTATAATTATTCTTGATTTTGTCAAATATTTATATATACATATAAACTTATTATATTAAAAAACTTCCGACATGAAATTCAAACCACATTTATATAAACTACTTATTAAATATTCATTCGATCAGTTTAGAAACTGAGAAATGTGCTTATACATTAATGGAGAGACATACAGATATCGCCATATCTATTCTTATTGTTTAATGGAGTTGGAATATATGTGGTTTAAATGTCTCTGAAATTTTCTTTATAACATAACAGAATTTAAATTTATTTATAAAGAGTCCCATTGGACTCAATGTTGTAGGACATCAGTGATATCAAACAGAGGTGTATTAACTCTCATGCTCAGCTAAAGGTTTGTTATTTTAAGATATGAATCGCCTAATAACCTCAGAACGTGTAAAAACTGCAATTTAGTCATTCACTCAAAAAATTGTGTTTCACGAATAAATCTTGTTTGAAATATAATAACTTATTAATAATATATAATATATATTAATAATATCTATATTCAGTTTGAACTAAGAACAAAATAACATAATATATAATAAAATGTTGTACAATATAAAATAATAGTTTTTGTATGGTAAGTTTTTGGAGCGGTTGGTGTGATTGTCAAAGCTCAGATGCGCATCAGCATAAGATTCTAATCTCGATTTGTATTTATTCCGTTCATGTTAACATTTCCTACTTTTGTTATATGTTAAATGTTCAATTACAGCACGTAAATTATTCTTAATTGTCTGTTTGTAATCTATATAAAGCACAATGCATGCCATGACAAAATTTAGAATTTCCTGAAATGAGGCAGGTAATATTTTACCTTCTAGTATGTATCATACATCACGGAGCAACTCTTTTAAGTGTGGAAGTAAGAAATTTAAAATAAAAGCCAAATATTAAGAAATAATACAGAATTTTGTAGACCTACAGCTATAAAATAGAATTCAAAGATGAAGATATCTTAAGCAAATGTAAAAATTATCCCAAAAACTTTTTGGATAAGATTGCGGATATAAAGGACTTGAAATTTATAAGAATGAACAATGATACAATACACGTTAAAGGTAAAGCAAAAATGACCGCGGAATTGCCGAAGAATACACCCATCAAGGTAAAGTATTTCAATTTCTTAGTTGTACTCCTTTACATATATACGAGTATAATGAACGATATGAAACTTTAATAGGTTTATGGGCAGATTTACAAGAAATCCCGAGGGCAATGGGTAAACACAATTTACAACTTCGCTCGACCAGATTTGTGTACTGCTTTGTTTACACCAGGCGAATACTGGAGTAAAATGGTGCAGCAATTATCTATCAAAAGACGTCAATGTCCATTTCCAAAAAATGTGAGTGCATTTTATATATAATTTAGTTGTCTTTGAGTATAGTTAAAACATTGATCTGATTATAGTATTCCCTTAACTTCGACCTTTTTACTGATCTTATTGCAAACGACATTGTTGACAAAAATGGCAGTGGCGAATATAAATTGAATGCTAATTTCGGTTACGGCACCAAAGAAGACGAATTTATTTGTGTAAATATTATTTTTTATGCGACAAGATTTGACAACACGCGGTTAAAGGTATAACTGTATGAGATACTTAATGTTTACTTCAAAGTACAACAAACCACAGAAAACTTATATAAGAATAAAATTACAAAAGTTTTGAATACTAAATCTTAGTTGTATGTCTAATAACACTCGGTTTAGGTATTAGCTATTCTAAATATAAGCACCTACACTGTTACAAGCTCTCGCAAGTGATTTTGACTGACATCTATATTGGAGTTCTTTGAAATTTCTAGGAATGCGGTGATATATGTGTACAGGTAGCCATTATATTTATTTAGTTTTGATATTTCTGCTGTCTAACTGAAACGACAATTTAATATATGGCACTGAAGTTTACATAATATTCTTTAAGAATAGATAATTTATTAAGGAACATCGCAGGATTATCTTGTCGGTTGCCTCAAATTTAACGTAAACTGAATTGGCTTAATTTATTTTAATTTACTGTTTAAGAAACCTACGTTCCACTTGGTAAATCTCTTCACTATAACAGCTACACTATTAGCAACAGTTAAGATTTTGAGATGTTTATCAAGGAGAAAAGATGTCAGGCGGTCGTACTATTTCGTTGATTTGCTGGATATTTAAAAAGGCTACAGAGTAATTGTTCATCTCTTCTATGGTATCTATGATTGAACTGCTCCACCATTGGAAACAGTCGTCTCAATAATGTTCTCTCACATATAAACTGTTTTACTTAATTTTACTTATGTTTCAAATTTAATAGTTATCATATTTTTGTCGTATATTATACGCAGAGACCTGCTGAGACCTCAAGCTAATTATACCATCACACTTTTTTATTAAAGTATGGTATAACAGTGATAGCGTTCTATTTTTTATTATGGAAAGTTATTCACTTCAAATTTGTTTTTACGACCTAAAGTTGTTTAGATTTACGCAAATACAATATTTTCATTGTTTTATTTAATTTTTAGTTTTAGTGTCAAACGTGCCCCAGGTAACAAATTCATTATTGATTCTTCTGAGTAAATAGTTTAGAATTGTTTAGTGGTCAACATTTTAAAGCACATTTTTTACTCAGCTCTATTGAAAAGAAACAAAGTATCTTAAGAAAGGGAATTCGGAAAATATAAATCAAGAGAAATTAGTAGATTTCTAATTGAAAGCAAATGATAAAGACTCGCCGGTGTGAAGTTTGTATGTGAATTTGTAGGAAACCTGCAAACCTGCAAAGCTGTGAGTTAGCATTCACAGTATCCATTGCGGATGCCGTAGAAGGAAAATATTTCAACTAATTTGTTAAATTTGTTAAATTGAATGAAAAATAAAAATTACTGCAACTTGTTTTGGAGCATTTTAATTACATTTTACTTGCAGTACAATTCACATTATAGACAATGAAAAACTTTCAATTTCCCATTTGCAATAAATTATTTTTTTTTGTTTTTCCACTTTCGGAATTGAACTGCATTAAGTTGCAGAGCTAGGAAATATGGCAAGAAATTAATTCTTTCCTCCACTACTTTTGAGTGAATTTAATCAGTATTATCTGTAGAAATTTTCTTATATATGGAATTAAAGATGATCCAATTAAAATAATGAATTCCTATGTATGGAAATTGTCAATTGCAATGCCAAAAGTATATTACAGATGTGGGTATTGAAAATTTTAAAGTTATTTTTAGTAGATTATGTTTCTAAAACCTTGTAATAATTGTTATTACTAAATTATGGTTTCATATATTTTACTTTTTTATAGTTACCTTATATTCTGGTTGAATCTATATTAATAGTGTATATAAAAATGTAATTATTTTTTCTGTACAAAATGACTTTTAAACCTCAGAATTTGTCTCCAAAAAATCTATAGTGCATAATTACGTTTAAAAAAAGACAAAAAATAACATATTTATTTAGGGTCAATATTTAGGATAGTCAATATAAAAAAAAAATTATTTATCAGATTACCACCAGCAGAAAAATAAAATCTTTTATTGAAGTTGGCCAACTCTTACATTGTTAAAGATCTCTCAGCTCGTAAATAGGTTAAATGCCTTTTTCGTAAGCTTCTATGTGTATAAAGCGACTTCAAATCGTAAACCATTTTTTTACCGACAAGTTAATTAAAAGTTACAACAAAAATAAATTGTCTCCTTCGAGAGAGAGATAGTCTGTCTTGGATCATCATATTTTTCAAGTTAGTCTTAATCAATTTTAAGTTTGAGAAGTTTCTTTCCGCACACGCTGTACTGACTGAAACTGTGAACATGCTTCTGGTTACTATATAAACATTCGGATATACTTCGGATATGATTAATGCCATATATGAAACCAAATTGTTCAATATATTCATTAAGTACTTTGAATTCACAGTAGTTAACTTTTAGCAAGGCCCCTGTAGGCGCGAGGCCGTGGCGGTCGCCGATATCGCTGATGCCTAGCGCCGCCACTGCCCTAATATTTATGATGACTATTTTATTCAGAACGTTTTATCTATGCGAGAATTGAATGTTTTTAATGTCAAATTTGGTAATCGAGTTATTTATATGTATTCTCAATCAGATCTAATAAAAACTAGTGAATATGTATTTCGTCAGTGGCAGTGAAATAGGTTCTCACTCAATGGATTTATAAAAAGTTTTCCTGCTACATTTTAATCGATTATTTTAATAACCTAAGCGAAAGATTGTCAACAAACCAAATGTATATGCAAAACAAATGTGTCATATGTACACGTCACGCAATGATATACGACCCACCAAGTTATTGGATTTCATCACCAAATCAATTTTTTATAACATTTGATCACTAACATTTGTTACTCAATATCGAGCCATATTAGGCAATATTTTTTTCCAAAATCTACGTCTTGTTGTACCAGGTGGTGATACATACTTTATCAACACTATATAAAAACATAAATATAAAATAGAAGAATGGTTTGATGATAATTTCAAGAAAGGGTTTCGTTGCATGCCCACTAAGATCGTGTGATTTAATATCGTTGAGCAATTTTCCGGGAATTGCATTCGTTGACGCATATCACGATGTGCGCATTAATTTTAGCCTTTACAATCAAAATTGAGTACTTAGTTTTTTTTTTTTTTGAAGTATTATTTAATTTTCTAAGAATATCCATGATAGTTAAATATAATTATTTGAAATATGTTAAATCGTGTAATGTATTTTTTTTTATAATTATTTGTAATTTAATATGGCCTATTAAATTTTTTGGTTGTTGAGTTTTTTTTTTGTACTGAACCCTGGTATACGCTGAGTATACCCCGGCCGCGGTAGAGGCCGGAAAGGTCGTTACAAACTGGAAAGTTAAATGAATATTTTTTATTTATATTTTTTTCCATTATAATTCTATACTAAATTAATTTTTAACATCAATTAGTAGACGGCCTTCCACATGATAAGTGCGAAAGGAATGACATCTGCGTGTTTACCGATGGCTCCTTGATGGATGGCAGAGCTGGAGCTGGGGCTTACTCGAAAGAGCTAAATGTAACGTGCACTCTACATCTAAGAAAATATATTTCCGTCTATCAGTCGATACTTATGGCGGTCTCACATGCTCTGGATCACATATTGAATTGTCAGGTGTATTAGAAAAAGATTCTGATAGCGCTGGACAATCAAGCAGATATCAAAAGCATGCAAACGAGATGAATAGTTAACAGCTTAGTACAAGAATGTGTCACGAAGCCCATGGAATGTGCTCATGGAAATGAGGTAACAGTCATGTGTGTTAAAAGACATATCGGTGTTGAGTAAAACGAAAAGGCAGATGAAGTATAACTTCTGTGGCCCAGAGTCCAGTATACCATTAGGCTACAACATAACGGCAGCGTATGTCGATAAGTGGATGACTTCACTTTATCTTTTTATATGGATAGAGATGACCACTTGTTAACAGACTAAAGTCATGATGTCGAAACCGTTGTTCAGGGAAGCGATAAAAGTGCTTATCTATCCTCGGAGCACCCTAAGCTGGCTGACCTCACTAATTACTGTATGTGGACATGGAAACATCAAGTATCACCTCAAAAAGATAAATCTACTCTTGCTGAAGAAGACATTTGCAGACTATGTCTAAAAGAAGAGGAGACAGTGGCGCATATATGGTGCCAATGTCCAACACTGGCAAGCAGGAGGAAGACTGTCTTAGGTTGATGATTTAGCAGGCAACCTGAAGCTAAATGAGTTGCATGCATTAACAAGAGAACAAGTAGTTTCGCGGTCCACTTTGGCTAGTCTTTCACTTCAGTGCGGCCACTTGTTGGACGGTGCGCTGTCCCAATGTGCCACCATATATATATATATATATATTTATTACAATATAAGAATATATACTTTAAGAAATTAACTTATGTGAAGCTCCTCAAATAATAAAAACAAAGGCTAACAAAATTTTAAAGTGAATCGATTTTTACTATGAAAAATTGTTGTTGTACGCGATTTGTTCCTGTTTTTGAAACTCAAATTGCCCCTTCGTGGTATGCGTTTTGAATCGATTGGGTCGGTGAAAGAGAATTCGCTGAAGGAACTAAAAAGCCATACCTGCACGCGCTTACGAAAAGTGTATGGAAGATTGAGTTAAACGTTGGCATATGTGTATTACTTCAGAAGGAGCATAATTCGAAGGAGATAAAATAAATTTGGAATAAAATTTAAATTTGTGTGTTTCATTTACAAAATCCGGATACTTTTTGAGCTGAAGGTATATAAAACTTCAGTGACATCGATTGGCTTATAGATTACTAAATCTCATATCAAGCAAACTAGCAATATATGCTATAATTAGTTATGTCCTTTCAGTTTTATTTAAAAATAAATGTAACTGAATTTTTATAAAGTAAAAATAAAAAAACAAATAAAGAAATATAATTATAATTTGTTTGTGATATTTATCAGAGTTTATACCGAATTTTAGAAATTACAATTAAGAAGCGAAAAAGTACATTATGCTTAATGTTGCTGAATATTATTGAACATATAATAATTAAATAAATCACAAGTTTTTTGTCCAGTTGAACCAAAGTATCATACTCTGCAAATGCTTTTCCTATGACAGCCATCTTGCAT